ACTCAAATCTGCACTGAGTTAATTATGTGCTGACAGTGGCCTTTTACCTGGTGGCAGCTGGGTGACCCAGCAAGCGGGCAGCCCGGCTGTCCCCCTGTGAGAACCAAGGATGCCCACGGGTGAGGCCCCGTGGCACATCTGGGCCGCGTGTGGCCAGCTGGGAGAAGGCAAAAGGCATCCAGGCTCCCGTTTGAATTCCGGACAAAGTGCATGCACAGGGGAGGGTATTGAAAGGACTGACATCTGAGAATTCAGGAGAACAGCAGATCAGAAGCCACTGTGGGCAAAAGGCTGGCGTGGGGACGAAGAAGAGCCTGTGAACACAAGCGAGCACACACTGGGGAGAATTCTAGGGAAGACCAAAGCCAGGCGGGGCCAGGGACCAGGGGAGGCGCACAGAAGAGTCCCACAGACTTGCCTGAGGAGCAGGATGTGGCTCCTGCTCCCCTAGTTATGGGAGAAGAGGAAATAAGAGAAAACTGGAAATTAAAGAATGACACCAAGAATACCAAAGTTCTTATCAACCAACATACACACTTTTAATTGCAAAAAGTAAAAACTTCCATTACATAAAACTTTAATTTATATACATCCTTTACATAGTGGAAGTCTTTGCAAGTTTGCAGTACGATAAGTACTTGTTCAACATCCTGCACTCAACATACACACTCACGGCTCAGACCATTCCGAGCCCCTGCGCTGGGACCACCCAGGCCCTCACAGCCTGGTTCCCCGAAGATGAACTGCGGCTGCGGCCGGCTCCCGTCCCCAGTGATGGCAGTCCCCAGCTCGCCTGTGCCTCACTCAGTGTCTCCTCCTCTCCAGCCCTGGGCATCTGTTACTGGCCTTTCCTCAGCAGGGAGGGAGGAAGGAGGAGAAAAAAAGTCGCAGCCAGCATTTTTCTGAGGGTAAAACTATGGAAAGAAGTATGGAGAGAAAGTTGCCTATTGTAAGACTGGATGCCATGTGTCTGTTGGTTCCTGTCACCATGTTTGTTCCTGAAAGGGTCTAAAGTGCTCTGAGGGGCTGCAGCTTGAAGCACAGGACACTGGGGACACTGCTAAGCGGTGAGTAAAGGCGGCTGCACAGGATGGCCACACCTCCCCCACAGAGCTGCCGTGGGGAACTGTGCAACAAGGGAAACAAAGCCTGGCACAAAGCAGATGTCCCAAGTCCCCCACTCCCCAGTTTCTGTCTGAGACCCAAAACCCAGCTGGGCTCCCTCCTCTGCATGGTGCTTGCAGCCACGGCTCACCCTGGGATTGGTGGCTGCCGCTTGCCTGACACACCGAGCAGAGGCGCAAGGGCCTCCAGTCCAGCCCTACCACGTCGTGACGGTTCCAGGCCTCCACTGACAGTTATGTAACGTTCCTCCTCTCCACTAGTCTGAAAAAGTCTGGACATTTCAGTCTCCAGAGAGAGGAAGATGACAGATGTATTTAGCTCTAATGCTTAAATTATGCAGGGCAGGGAAAGCAGACACTGAGGGACCTGGACAACAGACAAGCTGGCTGAGGTTTCCCATGAAGGCCCCACTGAGAGACGCTGCGTCCAGGGTGGGTGGACTTGGACGCGGTGCGTGGGAGGGAGAGCACCTGTCCGTCTCCCTGACGTGCTTTCGTGGAGGAACCCACAGGCTATCTGGAGGCCGGGGGTGCGGAGGACAGGGATTTGCGTGCTGCTGGTGACATGCACATTCCCAGAGCCTCCGCTTTTCTATTTGCCACAGGGCTGTCTTCGTAAGTGCCTTCACTGTCCTGGCCTCTGGCCCTGATTTGCGCCGGCTCCGTACATGGCATCTGCAGTCTAAACATGGAGTGATCTCAACCTAAAATACCACTTTGAAGCACATTTCTGACACCTTCTTCCTTCGGCAAATTCTAGTAGGCAATGGGGTCACCACTGAAAGGCAGTGAGTGTGGACCTTGTGTACTCAGGAGAGTATTTCCTCCATGGCTAAGAGAGAGCAAACGCCCCAGCAACCCCTCTGTTTAACACCTGATTCTCAGAATGCAGACAAAATCACCTTTCTCCACGCAAACACACGGCACAGCCTTTCCTCCCGTTCGCCTACATCCTGGCCTTCTCCTGGACGAAGACATGATGAGAAGCAAACGTTTGCTTTGGGGTTTGAACACTTAGGAATAAAGCAACTGGGTAACGAGTAAATTCATTCTAGACTGTATTCAAATGATTAAGCCCATCACCTGCAGCTGAGGAACTTGAGATTTTGTTTTAAAATAATTGTTCCTATGCTGAGGCCTATGCTGGATTTGGGGAGAAGGGAATAGAAAACTGAGAACTGAAAAACAAGTGATGTAAACTCCAAGGGGACCCACAACTGGAATTGGATAGAGTCTCTCCTCTGGTCACACATCTGGAAGAATGTGGTGACAGGAAAATGGCTGGACACAGTTGTCTTCCAGCAATACTCACTCTTTTTTAAAAAGTTTTCAAACGGGGAGGGAGAAAGTGAAAGGAATTTTATAAAAGTCATATGGTTAGATTCTTTCCTCCTCCATTTCTGTCCAAATGAGTTTTAAATACAAACCCTGGGCCGGGCGCGGTGGCTCATGCCTGTAATCCTAGCTCTCTGGGAGGCCGAGGCGGGTGGATTGTTTGAGCTCAGGAGTTTGAGACCAGCCTGAGCAAGAGCGAGACCCCATCTCTACTAAAAATAGAAAGAAATTAATTGGACAACTAAAAATATATAGAAAAAATTAGCCAGGCATGGTGGCACATGCCTGTAGTCCCAGCTACTTGGGAGGCTGAGGCAGGAGGATCGCTTGAGCCCAGGAGTTTGAGGTTGCTGTGAGCTAGGCTGACGCCACGGCACTCTAGCCCGGGCAACACAGTGAAACTGTCTCAAAAAAAAAAACAAAACACATAAATAAAAACAAACCCTGCAGTTGCTGGCTTGCTGGTCCCCATCCCTACATAATCCCACCCCGTTGGGGCACACCTGAGTCAATGAAATCCACAGCTCTCTCCTCGGGCACTGCACCAGGAAAAGTGTGCCATGGAACCAACCACCCAGCACCAGCAGTTAGACTCATCCAAGGCTTCATTTCTTTACTTGTAAAATGAGGATCTAACACTCCCTTAGAGGACTGGGTGAAGATTAAGGGAGACCATATACAGCAGGCGCTTTGTTAAGTTGGAATGGACTAGACAGATGTTATTACTCCTTTCTCTCACAAAATGAGCCAAATCTGCCCTTTCCATCGACTGTTTTGTATTTCACCAAATAGTGTATTTCTGTTTTCATAAACCACTGTTATTTTACTTCCTCCCTTCCCTAAAAAACTTGAGGGTGAGGTGAGGATAAGCTCTGCCTCTTTTCATCAACCAGAATAGGTGTGGCGTCCATTCAATGCCTGGCTGCTGGAGAGCTTAGCGCATTTGGACGTACATGCTTCAAACTGGCACCAAGGCAGTCTGTCTCGCCAGAGAGCTGACTTCTGGGGATCTGCGCCTCTGTGGTGGGAACCTACAAGAAAGTGAAGCTAACCCGTGCGTGGAGGTCACTGCCATGTCACCTCTTAGTAAATGCTCAACAAACTTATGAAGAAGTCCCTCTTTTCAGAGCTGTGGTTTTGTTCGTATTGCAGTCATGGAGATGGGGATTTCCTTAGGTGGTCCTACCATGGCCCTGCAACCCCATTTCCTCGTCTTAACGACCCTCTTTCCCACACCAGGTCACGCAGAGGGACTGTTGCTACTTCCTGCCAGAGGTTGAGAGCTAAAAGGATAGAAGTGATCCTGCAGCACTCTGCACAAAGCCTTGGATAACCAGAAAGGGACTAGCTGGCACCCCCCCAGCCCTTCCTGTAGGACCGGACAGTAGTAGATTCTGCTCATCAGAATTACCTTAAGAAGAAGGTGAATTACTGCTATGTATCTGGTAATTAAGAGCAGAATACTCTCTTTGGAGAATTTCTCCCATAATACAAATTTATATTCAAGTCTGAACTGGATAGATTTTAAGTAAAATGAGTAGTATACGCACAAAAGTCTCTACTATCTTCTGCTGTAACTATTCTTTGCTAAGCTACAGAACAGCTCACGGGCTTAGGGGATGTTCCAGGGGATGTTTTAGAATACCAGCATGTGCAAGGGTTCCTTAATTTTCAAGTTGTGTGCTGAAGTGGGTATTTTATGGACATTTAAGATGTCAAGGGCTGGAGAGAAATGGAGAAGGAACACAAGGCAACTCATGAAACAAAACAGAGATCTCGATCGTCGACACAGTTGTTCTGTTCCTAAGGACACCTCTCTTTTGTTAACGAGAAGGGTCTAATTGGAGCCAACTGAGAGTCCACTAAAGAACTTGTTTCTGTGTCATCCTTCCCTGTGTGCGGCAGAAGCCTCTAAAAGCTTGCACGGAACTGGCCTCTAGATGATCCCTCTGACTTAAAACCTCTTAAATCATAATTGCTTAGCAGCATGACTTTTATATGTACAAAAAGTTTTGTTTTTCCTGTGTGAGTCCACACAAGGGGCTGATTCTTTTAAGGAGAAATTCCCTCAGGTACAGTTCATCCTAGTTCCACTCAAGCCTTCCACGGAGGAGGCTCCGAGTGTTTCCGCCCTCAGTTCTGTGAACTCTGCTTGTCCTTTAGAAGCTCACAGACAAACAGGCCGCTCAGGCGCTGGATGATCCCGCTGCTGCCAGAAAGAGGGCCTGGGAGATGAGGCGCAGGCTCCTCCAAGGATGAGGAGGACCCCACAGAGGGTCACGACCACCTTCCCTCACAACTGTCTAACTCTCCCTAACTGACAAGGACATCTACTGTGTCCCTTTGACTTCTGCAATTCAGAGCCAGAGGCCACAGTGAGGTTTTTTCTTCATCTTGGTGATGGCATGACCAATGGCCAGGTATCTAACAGTGTCAATAAAGGAATAATAAGGAAAAAAAGGGAATGAGCGTCCTTATTTATACCATTTGATTAATACATACCAAAAACACTTGGGGGAAAACAATAACCATAGCGAATCATCCAATCAGAAGAACACAGCTTTATATTATTGCAAAAAATAAAACACCTCACCTTGTTTCCCAGCACAGAGACAGCAATCAGTTCAAGACAGCGGATCACATGGTCAGTTGCACACGCAGCTGGCAAACCCTTTGGGTCTGGAGTTCCTCCCACAACCACATTACAACATCAGCTTTGACGCATCTGTAAAACATCTTCTCTGCAGAAAATCAGACCCTAAAGATGAAACCCAGGGAGGCACCCTCTCCCCGGGCCAGCTACTCTAACTCATTCCTCTCTGAAGACACTTGGTAAAGACGACGCAGTTGACAGGAGCAGTGCTGCCCCAGCAGTAACGGGCTCTGGCCCAGTCGAGGCAGAGGGGACCAGAGCCAAGCTTCTGAAAAACCAACCACATAGGCAAGGGACCGGGCAGGGAGTTTAAGAACCTGATAAAATGGAGAAAAATATTACTTTAGGAATTCCCATTTTAAATTGTAATCAGACTCTACTCTGGCATCGCTGAGACTCCAAGAGCCATGGGCACTGGGAAAGAAGTACACTTGAGTGCAACTCAAGGTTATTTGATCTTTTTTCACCAGTTCTAGATTCAATCTTGTTCGAGAAACTGCAATGATTTCTTCAATCAGCCGTGGCTTTCCAAAAAAGTACAGGTGATGAGGCCAGGAAGACGGGGATGAACAGGCTCACCTGGTAAAGGATGGCTCTGTGTCAGAACTGGCTGGCTGCTCTCTTGGCTGCAGGGAGCCAGCAGGGCGGATTGTGCCGATGCTAGTGAAGGAAGGCACCAGCCCTATTTCCTGTCTGAGGGGCGGCCTCAGTGTCACAGTGCCCAAAGGCCTGGAAGAGCTCAGTTTTTCACAGATGGGTGCTGGCAAAGTCCTAACCAAGTGGCCAGGCTAGAATTCTTCCCGAATGACCTGCGGAAAGTCAGGAGGGGTTGGCCCTGGCCACTGCCTCACAGTTCACAGCTGGCTGGCACATGCATGCAAAGGGCAGGTAACTTAGTAGCCAACCTGTAGAGAGCGGTTTCATTGTTTTTGTTTTTATTTCCCCCCTTTCAACCTGGTTTTCAGCTCTCAAACTGTTCCTGAATAAAGTTCTGCTTCCTATAGTTCTGAGAGAGTGGTTCCGTCGCAGATGACCAAAGGCTGGACCCCTCTGGCTACAATGTAGACCTTCCAGTGGGTGGCGCCGGCATAGCCTTGAAGGGAAACAGCAAGAGGAAAGCACGTGAGTGTCAGGGACCGAGCACACCTGCAGGCAACAGCAAGGCGGGTCTGCCAGAGCTGGCCCTCTGGGTGCCTGGCAGAGCCAAAGACGGACCCTGCACTGAAGGGCTTTTAGCTCTTCCTCGCAGAAGCAGTCCTACTTATTATCAGTCCTCTCTGTAACCTGACGTCCAACAGGAGCCACTGTGAACCAAAATACTTTGTCACCACCCTCACTCAGGCAACTGCGAGTCACAGTTCGGCAGTTCACGAAGGCTCCAGATGAGGCTGGTGTTCGGCATCAATCCTCAGACTGATCTTAGCTTTTTCAGCAAGAAGATGGGATGGGTTTTGAGGGGGAGCAGGACTTACTATCCGATTTTCCTGAGGTTATCTATAATATAGTTCCATTAGAGAACATTCAGATTAACCTACACCAGCATTTCCCAAATTGGGTTCTGCTCATGCTAGTGTCCTGTAAGATAACCCGAAGAAAGCAGGTCCCATGGCCAAGTCAGTCTGAGAAACACTAGGCTCCTCTAGGGCTCTTCAGCCTTTGGTACACTAACGTGTGTCCTATGCGCTGACGAGACAGCACTTCCCAAAGCCGGCTGACTCAGGAGCCCTATTTGCCAAGGGCCTTTGCAAGGGGCTCCTGGTCCCGTCTGCGGGGTCATGAATAACCTGAAGAATCATTTAGGAAACACTGACCTGTGTCATTTGAGTGGGCGATGAAGGTAAACTTAAAAACTTTAACCCTCCGATAATCTGAGGATGCTGAACTTCATCGTGCCTATAGTTGTAACAATATTCTCTTGCACATTTAAACATTTATTAAGAGGGCAGACCTCAGGTTAAGTGTTTTTACAACAATAAAATAAAATTAACAAACAAACAAAAATCTCCTGATGGAAAATTTTCTAGAGCACGATGGCTCCTACCCATCTTTAAACTGAGGGCACTGAAAAGAATTTGGCCTTGGTGACTCAGGAAAGGTCACGATGGCAGTGACTGTCCTGTA